GGTGGCCGGCCATCGAGCAGCTACGGTCCGCCGGACAGGAACAATGGCAGGCCGTCGGGACTCTACGGGCTACCCGGCAGGAATGGAAACGGTGGTGGGAATGGTGGTAATGGTGGCAATGGTGGTAACGGAGGAAATGGCGGATACCCTTCGGGTGGAGGTAACGGAGGCAACGGCGGTTACCCGTCCGGAGGACCTAACGGAGGCAACGGCGGAGGTTATCCTTCTGGAGGACCGGGCGGCAACGGAAACGGTAACGGTGGTTATCCTTCTGGAGGACCCGGTGGAAACGGTGGCTATCCGTCTGGCGGACCCAATGGAAATGGCAATGGCGGCGGCTACGGGAGCAATGGAGACGAAGACAATAACGTGAGTGAATATTTAACGATACATTATCTGTTTCACTGTTTGGGATCTAGTTATTATTTGTTGCGAGGATTGGGGTAGTTAGACGGTAGTTTGGTGTATCGAAAAGTTTCTTGTTTTATAAATGTATTGTAAATATTCGATCATATGTAGTTTTTCCCTGGATACTTTATGTTCAAGTATTTTTCATACGGTTTTGAATGATTCTTTCAATGGTGAATTATATAGTTTGATTATTCGAGATTTGTAGAAAGAATATTGTAAAGAAGTGTCAAGGTTTTGCTCATCGAAGTATGTGATCGGTTCAAGAATTGTTCAGAAATTTGAGTTTAGAGAATGTCTAATAGTTTCGTAAATAAATAATGTCAGTCCTCTTGTTAAAAGGCAATGATCTATGAGGTAGAGTCTAAAACTGATAGCAGTTAAACGAGTATCACTCGGAGACCATAAATTTGCATGTTACAACTCATTACGAATTGTTCCATAATGAACACGTATGAGCGGGAATGGTGAAATCAGATAGTCGAAAGTCATCGCGTTCCCAATGCTTGAATGTACAATTGAAACTTGATTCGTCATTTTTGCCAACATGACGAATAGCTGGATATCGATAAAGATATCGTGTGTGCATATTATCAGTCGGGAAAACGGAGATTAATGATCTAGGAGCCGGCAAAGTACGAATTCTCTTATGAGGTGAAGGACGAGCAGTCCGGTGCTGATTACGGACACACGGAGACCCGAGATGGCGATCGCGCGCAAGGAGAATTCAACGTTCTGCTTCCTGACGGAAGGAAGCAGATCATTGAATACGAGGCCGATCAAGATGGCTTTAAACCACAGATTAGATACGAGGGCGAAGCAAACAACGGAGGATACGGTTCCGGGCCGAACGGCAACGGTGGAGGTGATTTCGGCGATAACGGCTACCCGAGTGGAGGTCCAAACGGAAACGGAAATGGTGGCAACGGTAACGGTTATCCGTCTGGAGGACCAAGTGGCAACGGCGGCGGATCTGACTCCAGTAACGGTAAAACAAAACATTTCGCTATCTAATCTAAACTTTACCTTCGAAATTCTTGGGTTCAACCTATCTTTTCTTGGGATTTGTACAGTTACTACCTAGCCCACAAAGTTTTGTGTATATTAGTGTTTGATTTATTTAATGATTAAGAAAGTAGTATAAAGAAATGTTTCTGGAAACGATTGTAAGAACTAGATTTGTAAGTAAAAATTTGGCTACAATAGAAAAATTGTCTAGTCTAAATATAATTTTGTAAGTAATTAGAGAAACAACAAAAGTCTAATAAGCTTGGTTTAATACTAATGAAATCAGAGCAACTTCTCCGCCAATAAATGTATTTTACTGATAATTGTTTGTTTGTAAAGGCGGGTATCCATCTGGGGGACCAAACGGTAACGGCAATGGCGGCTACAGAAACGGAAACGGTAACGGCGGTAACGGAAACGGCGGATATCCGTCAGGAAGTGGCGGCGATGCTGCTGCCAATGGAGGATATCAATATTAAATAATCAATTAGACGTAGTGATATATTTACATATATATCGCGTGTATTACAAAAAGGGAATGCATAGGGCAACATTCTTCATAACGTGTAGAATAATCTTCGTTTGGAACAGTAGAAACGTGGCTGTCAATGATGATGGTAGGTGACAACTTGAGCAGCATCGAATTCTTGTACCGATGTGAAATGCTCTTGATTGTCGGGAACACTTCCGGTTCAGTAACTATGGCGGGGAAGAGACGTGAATATGGATATGCTTTCGAAAACCAACGCTTCGTTTGTTTCAAACGCGTTATGCATATTATATAGTATTATTATTATTATAGTATAAATGGAAAAATTATTTATACGACACACATGAACACCTCACAATCGATGTTTAGGAACGAACGATGTTTTTGGATATTATAAATGCATACGATGAAATGTATATATTTCCGTTGCGATGATACAAAACGGTAACGTTCGAATGATTTATCGTTACTTAATTAATTTACGTAACATACACATGCAACACGTATAAAAATAAAAACCTGCATCGATTGGTTTAATTATATAAGAACGATTCTCGTATGCATTGAACAATTGCATTTTCCTTTTTGCATCTATGAAATATCTGCCAATTCATACCTACGATCAAATATATGCTAATTTGTAACGTTTGTTAAGGCATTGTATTTATTTACTATTTATCATACTTATGTATATTTTGATGATGTTTAAAATGTAGCTGTAGACACGAACGTCCGCATAAATAAATATTGCGGTAGGCCATAATGTGTTCAGTCTTTCACTCTTACACCTTTATAATATAAATTATTCTATACACCAATGAAATTATTTCCAGCAAATATATTTAATGAAATACTTTCAGTTCATTTAATACTATTAAAACAAGGACTATTGAATATATAATATTAATTGATAAAAGTTAAAAAAATGATTGGACTTTAATTTATTCTTAAATTGCATGCTTGTACAGTTACATGTAATACTTAAATAATATTTATATATATTATTTGATTAATAAAACTAGCTTAATGTCAAGTAACAGTTGAGTGCATTAAATCTGTTATGGCTTTCTGTCTAAGTGTATAAAGTTTCTTCACCCATTTGTCAAATCTTGCTTCTTGATCAAGCATTATCTAGGAAAAAAGTAAATATTGAAATAAGAAATGTTATAAATATGGAAGTATATTTGAATGTAGAATAATAAATAGTAGATGTATTACCGATGAATGGAAAATACTTTCTGACCCAGATGGAACATCAGCTACTGTTGGAACTTGTATAGTATCTGCAGCTATATCTATTACAATGTTTTTAAACTTTCTTTCCTTTGTAGACGATGAAAATTGTTTAGGTGTAAAATCTTCAGAATTTATTTCATCCAATACACCCTCTTTAAAACGTGGTTCAATTGGAAAGTCATCTACAAAAAACAATTTTATGTCGAGTTCAAATATTTTCTTTGCATCAGTTTCAAGTTTATAAATTGTATACAAATTCTAAATAATGATGATTACATCTAACAATTTCTAATTATACCTTTTATTACTACTATATTCTTAGGTTTCTCAGCCACAGTAGCTTTCACATTAGATTGTGAACTACTAGAACAGCTGCTTGATTTCTCTCTTGATATGGACCTTATTCTTCTCTTTGAACGATCTGAGGACCTTGATTTTGAACGATACCTATGTCTTTCTCTTCCTTTTGAACTACTGTTTCTGAAACTTTTATAGCTTTTTTGACTACGTTCTCTATCTCTACCTCTGCTTCTAGAGTGTGAACGATGTCTGCGTTTTGTTTTTGAATGTTTAGATGACCTTCTTCTATGCGGTGATGAATCACTGGAATCACTGCTAGATGATCTGAAAGATATATAGGTATATCATTCCAAATTATATGTCTGAAGATTTTAATTCATCATATCTATTTTTTAACATATTACTTACCTGGATCTTCGGCTACGTCTCTTACGATATCTACTGTTATGATCTGAATCTGATTCACTAGAATATCTTGCCATAACTGTTTCTCTTGTTTACTTTAATTATAGGTTAATTAAAATAACATTAGTCATATTAATTTACCTATGCTTTGTTTTCAAGTCTCCGCAATACGAATGTGCAATTATACTTTGAATCGTTATTAAACCTATACCGTGTTTCCTAACGATTCATTACTATTAAAAATTGATTCATCAAAACAAAACCACATGATTTTTATACAAGTCAGGATAACCTGACAAAAGAGATTTCTAATAAGTATTATAAACAACCGTAGAAGATTTTTTAAGAATAATTTTTAATTTATGAAATCTTCCGAATTAATGTAACAAATTAATAAAACCTGACTGCATCTTTAAGTGCTATTTATTTAAACTCTATATTTATTATATTGTGACAACATAACATCAGGTGACATCTATGATAAAATATCCAAATTCATAACCATATCCATAGATTTAACATACGTACCTATAAATGTTATAATTACCAATAAGAGACAAGATATATTAATAAAACCTGACTGCACTTCTAAGTGATATTTATTTAAACTCTATATTTATTATATTCTGACAACATGACATAACGTGACATCTATGATAAAACATCCAAACTCATAACCATATCCATAGATTTAACATATATACCTACAAATGTTGCAATTACCAACAAAAGACAAGATATATTGAACATCCAGTAGACAACATCGGTAATATTTATTTACTGGTTTAAACATTTACCACAGATGGCGCCACTGTCACTCCGCATAAATTTCCACATCGGTAACATTTGTCTACCAGTTTGACCGTTTTGCCACGGATGGCGCCACCAGTCAAAACAGCAGATTTTCCTAAGCAAATAATTCTTGCCGCAATACGCATTATATGTTATGGACAGAACGGCAAGAATTATTTGTACTGGAAAGATTATATACTATACTAAAATGAAAAACGAAATTTCCCACAACGGATGATCAATGTTTCCTTCCTTGAGCTTAAGGCTAATTTAAAAGAGACTTATTACTATCTTAACACTAAACTACCAAACAGTCAAGTTGACTTTCCAAAATTTTTCTATAGAAACCCGAAGAGTGCACCACTTCGATCACTGAAAACTTAGTTTGCGTATTAGTAAAACAATTCCTTTAGAAATTTCGTAGAGAAAGATCCATTGTTTTCTGAATAATTGTAAAAGAAGAGGAATTATCGGACTAAGAGAGAAAAAGTGGTGAATCACGAAAGAAGTCCTTGATTCTAAAACGAGAGAAACTAGACGTTGATTAAAAAGGAGATAAATGAAGCTATAGCTAAAGACATAACACGTCTAATCTATTCTATCTCTCGTTGGTATCTCAAGTTTATGTGTTAGCACCGGTGGTATATCCTTTCTACCAAGAATCCGTTGTACCATTGGTTCATAAAGTATCCTCTGCTGGAAACGACACGACTGAGATAGAAATGGCAATGAAGAGGATCTACAGAGTCCCAGGAAATTCATCCAATATATTTAATATCTCTTACTCTCGTATTTCTTCGTTAAAAGAAAGCGCAGCATGAGCTTCGATTTCGTTTCAACTTGACTAACGGATAAATTACATTTACGTTATCAATTCATCCTCGCATAAGAAAGCGCCATTTTTTCGCGTGCGCCTTACGTTCAGTCACACCTGCGTTAAACGAAATTATTTTAATTACCGATCTTACGCGGGTGTCCTCCTCGAAGGAATAATTTTATAATCGGCGCATTACTGCGATCAACAAAATCGCTTGTATTACTTTTTGCCGTATCAAGTGATGTTCATGCGCGCACGAATCGGGTTTCGCGTGGTATCGGCCGCTTATTAATCTCCTGACGAATACTAACGAGAAATCTAGACCGTGGGATCAGGTCAGTTCGAACGTGCGCCAACATCCCGACACTCTCTCGCATGGTAATGGCGGCATTGGACGAAGATCTCGGACCATTCACGGCTTGATAAAGAAGATAAGACGATAAGACACCGCGGTGGGAAATACTCCGTTGAACGTTCAACGGCGGTGCAGTATGAACATCCGAGGGTTCGTTGGATTTCTACGTCGTACATCACGAAACGAAGCCGCCGCGGCGAAAGAGATAAGAGCGATATTACGAATCGTTCAGTCTATTAATTATTATATAGCATACGCATTTCACATTACGGAGAATATAAATCATACACTTTCGTTATCAGCCGCGCGAGGATACAAGATAATTAGAGCTTCGATAGGCGGAGAGTTTAATTAACCCTTCGCTGTCGAGAGGTGACTCTCGCTCACCACCTGATTTCACGCAGTGAGTCTATAAAATTTGATATTTAACACTTCGACCGCCACGAGAATTTCTTGAACGGTAATACTTATTCTTTAATAGCAAAGGCAAATTACCTGGTTAACTAAATCATTAAAATTATTTTCAATAACACGACTGCCACGAGAATTTTCAGCGGTAATGGTAATACTTATTCTTTAATAATAGAGGCAAATTATATTGAAAATAATTAATGGTTTAGTTAAAGAGATAATTACTGATGATTACAGTAGTCGTATTACGCTATGATGTAGCTACTTATGTTACTAAATATTTTTGTTTAAAATCAAGTATTTCAGAAGACAATCGAAATCCGAGTGATCGAAACACATCGACTTGACCCAATGAATTCATGCAGAAGTGAATGTTGTTTTAGGTTTAAGGTGGAGTATGTACTGATTAAGTCATAGACTAATGCTAGTTAGCTACCGAGCACTCAAACGCGTTACGTTTCGTCAAAAAGGAGTCAGCAGACTCACAATAGATAAATGGATCACGGATTTTTCTGAATGCATGGACGGTTTGAAGCAAGCCGATAACTACAATAATCTCGTCGACTTAATAAGAGCTCGAGCCGCCGATCACTTTATCGTTGCAATCATAGTCGTTCTTCTTAACGAGGATCTTGATATCTAAACTCCGTTCCCATCACGAACAGCATCGAGCGCCCTTCCCTTTTGGAAAACGTCGCGTCATCATCCATTGGACCTGGCAGTCGCAATTGTGGTGTCACGGCGGGTATTTAACGAACGTGACGACCTGTGACCCACTCCGTTTAACGGCTCGGCCCGAAGACGTTGCACACCCTATTCCATTCTTCGACGAGCGGTGAGAAGTGGGCGAAAGTGTAGCGGAGATTGTCCAGGAGACCCGCTGGATCCTGCGTAGAGGAGGCTTAGCGAAAGGAACGTGTATTCTCGGCTGCGCTGGAACAGCAACCAGTTCTACCGCGCTGTAGAACTGGTGTGTCTTAACCCTTTGCGCTCGAGGGGCGATCCACGGTCGCCATTCGACTCTATGTAGAAAGATTGGAAAATTGAAAATTCCATATTACGTTTCAATAAAATAGTTCGATTCTTTAATTTATGCAAGATTCGTCGCGTTGGTTGCAAAATATATCAATTCTTCGTTAGAAAATAATGGATATTTTAATGAGAAATATTGCATTGTTAAACGTTAACCCTTTGCACTCGAGGGGTGATCCACAGTCGCCATTCGACTCAATGTAGAAAGATTAGAAAATTGAAAATTCCATATTACGTTACAATAAAATAGTTCGATTCTTTAATTTATGCAAGATTCATCGCGTTGGTTGTAATATATATCATCGATTCTTCGTTAGAAAATAATGGATATTTTAATGAGGAATATTGCATTGTTAAACGTTAACCCTTTGCACTCGAGGGGTGATCCACAGTCGCCATTCGACTCTATGTAGAAAGATTAGAAAATTGAAAATTCCATATTACGTTACAATAAAATAGTTCGGTTCTTTAATTTATGCAAGACTCGTCGCGTTGGTTGTAATATATATCATCGATTCTTCGTTAGAAAATAATGGATATTTTAATGAGAAACCACCACTTGATTTGATGCAGTAAAATTATAAAATAAGGTATTCATTAATACCTTATTAATTTTATATTGAATTTTTCACTTCATTTTCCTGCGTTCAATCAAATGACGATTGAGTCTCCTCCCGAGTGCAAAGGGTTAAGACACACCGTGACAGGTATTATTTATAACCTACATAAAGAAACATCTTGCATAAATTTTAGGGCAGAATTGTTTTATTTCTGTTCCATATGTTAATACCTTATTCAATTTTGAATTTTTGAAATATCATTCTTCGGTTTTCTGAGCTTTCTCCCAAACCTTAGTAAAATCGTCAAATTCGTCCTATATTCGCATAGGCACTCGGCGGTCGGCGCTAAACGGGTTGAAGCTCGAGTCGCAGCCTTAGCTTCCACCGCTCGAGACTCCCGGCTGATTTTTACGACTCCGTTTCGAGGGGATTCTGGCAGCATCGCGGTTACTAGGCTCGAAAGCGCGACAAGGTCGGTGCCAGTGCGAACTGTCCCGATCCCACGGCCTTGAATCGGCGCGGGTGCTTGTAACGAGAGTAATAAGGCCCCGGACAACATACGAAACCCGCTTCCGCGAACGAGCAACACACGGTAACACGGGGGAAACGATGCGGGTAATTGAAATCGTTATTCACGTTGACTTAGGAACGGCCTCTCGTAACATGGAAACACGATGCGGTTTCGCGGCGGTTCGCCGTGCTTTCCATCGTCGACGGATGCTGGGTAGTTCGCCGCTGCCCGCGTCAAGTATCAACGCGCGCGCTGCGTAGAAATTAGATCGTTCGCGAGTACTCGCCGGTGACGCAACGCGGGGTTGGAAATCGAGATTATCCTTCCAGCAACGATCGAGGGAATTTCCTTCATCGGTCTACTAATCTTCTTTCCTTTCCCACTGGACAACGATCGTTCAACTCGTGGAACCTGTCGGAAAGTATTGTAGTATGTTAATTTCTAAGCTATGTATATACGTATATATCCACGTATCTTCGTACCTATTTATTTATTTATTTTATGTGTATTTATTTATCTTACTTATTTATCTATATGTTTGTATAGCTACAATTACATAATTAATTAATCTAAAGAAATTTACATCTAGCATAGCGTAATATGACTACTGTAATGCTAAATCATTAACAATTATTTTCAATATCATTTGCCTCTGCTATTAATATTGATTAAAAACGTAACATATTATTCTCTGAGAAATTACTACAGAAATTGGTCTAGATCAATCGGATCAGATCACAAAATTGATCATATCCGCGAAAGCCGCCATAGTGGCGCATCGTAATATAAGATGACATCAGCGGAAGCCATTACGATGGCACATCGTACGCAAGAGGTTAAGGTTGAATCGTGAAACTTCGATGATTCGAACTTCATAGAACTCCGAGACTTCAGGATTCAGATTTTAAGATTGAGCTTCGAAGTTCTGAAAATTAGAGCGATTTACAACGCTAAGAAAACCGTATTCCGCTGGCCTTTCGCGCTATGCCACGGGTATCCGATCCGCGACGTCGCCCTGAGATACTTGGAATGACGAAGGTGACCTGATATTCAAGCGAGCATACCGGAATTCATCTTCGGGCGAGCGTAGATCGCGATTCTGTCGCGCATTCCCCTTGGAGGCTTCGCGAATTGGGTCGACGATGACTAGATTGCTACTCTATATGCTAATATCAATTTTTCC